TCTGGGACAAAGCTGGCAATGAGTCTGCCTCCTGCCTCCAGTCCTTTGCCTTTTTTGTCAGGCTGAAGAAGGCTTGGAGTCCTTGAGAGCTTTTTGTGCAGCTGGAAAAATGTGTCCATTTCTAGATGCACAGTGAATCAGTGGAGTGGTTACTGTCCTCACAGTGGAACCAAACCAGGTGTTTTTCAGAGGCTGCTTTTGTGTTCAGCCCCCAAATCCCCTCCTGAGTCCACTGTGTGGAGTTCATGCATGCCTGTCCTTGCATGCCCTTGTAGCCCTCTGGCCAGCCCAGTTACTGGCATAAAGAGTTGCTCAGTAGCTGTTTGTGTAGTGAATGGAAAGCCACTGGAGCTGGATTGTCCTGTTTGATCTCATGGTCCCAGCACTTCTGAGCAGAAGATGTAGTAGAAGAAGGCTGGACCCTAACAGGGGAAGAGTTCACCTGTGCTCTTTCACAAGGAACCAAACAAAAATGTAGGAAACAAACATCTCATTGCAATATGTGGAGCAAGCCTGTGGGCCATAAAACACATTGCTAAAACAGCAAAACAGGGTAGTTCTATGATGCAACCACCTGAAATGATAGTGGATTGATGAAGAATCACCATTTTGTTATATTCCCCAGTCATAAATCCCAGGTCTTGACCCCTGCTTTAGGGAAGATGGGTTTCTCAAGTATAGAAGAACAGTTATGAACTTTAAAAAGCTGCAGAGAGATTTACTCGTGTTTGTTCTTTGGATAAAAACAAAACACTGCACACCCAGGGGAATGAGGTTGCAAGCAGTTTCTGCTAAATGAGATCTTTCTTCAGTGGTTGGTGTAAGATCTCAGTGATCTTTTCAGTAGCTCCTAAATATGTACAGTTCTCTACATTCTACATTCAAACTGTGTTTCAGATTTTCCCAGCTTGACTTGGCTACAATATAGACAGAAAGGTTTAATTGTATTGCTTTAATTGCTTTTCCATGGCTAGAAAGTGAAGTTATAAGAAGCACCCCTACCAGCCCCCCAGTATCTTCCTTGTAATTTCTTGCAATAGTCTTCCCTTGGGAAATGGTAGAAAGTCTTATTCATATTAAAGAACCTTTGACTTTAGCAGTACTGAGATGCCTACATCAAATGTCCTGATGAAACAGATCATCTCCGTGATCTTGAGCAGATGTTTAAAATTGGAAACCAATCTAATATTTTTCACAAAGTGAAATTTAAATCCTTTAGAGCTTGATGCTATATTGGTAGAACAAACGTTTTTTAATGCCAGTTCTTTGAAGATATGAGATAGCTAGTGTTTTGGTAGGTGTACCAACTTATGTGAGGAATAAAGTTGAAATGTCCAGTTTAGTTCTTCCTTGACCTTAATTTGGTCCCTCTCTGAAGACAGGAGATCTTCACAGTCATTCAGAAAAGAAAGCCTTTTTTGAGAAGGGCCTACTGTGCACCCAGCAAAAATAGTAGAACCCAACCTTTTAGGACCCTCAAATTGGGTGTGGCAATTAGAACCATGTGTCATTGTAGCACAGTCCTTCCTGTTGATTCTCAGAGGGTACACTTTTCTTGGCTCACATTTTTGTGTTCTTTATCTTTGGTGTTGCATCTGTATCTGCCCCAGCAATTGAAAGAGTGCCTAGCATAGGCCAGCATGGCACAACCAGTGCTGCAGGGTGAAGGAAGCCCTGGCCTGCAGGCACTGTCCGGGTGCGTTCTGAAGACTGACTGCTGTTGGGAGCTGCATAGGCCCTGGCGCTTCCAGAATGTAGTTACACCCCTGCAGTTACGCTCTCCACTGTTGAGTTCCTCACAGTTAATTGTAGTCCAAAAATGTTAAGTGAAAAATTATAGAAATAAAAAATTCACAGGTTTTAAATAACATCACCATCACCACCACCACACCATCAGCAGCAGCAGCATCATCATCATCATCATCATCATCATCATCATCATCATCATCAGTACTGGGCACTGAGCCGCATCCCCAGCCCTTTTATTTATTTTATTTTGAGACAGGGTTTTGCTAAACTGATTAGGGCCTCACTAAATTGCTGAGGCTAGCTGATCCTCCTGAGCCTGGGATTACAGGGGTATGCCACCTTGCCCAGCTTGTTATGGTATACTGTTATAATTGTCCTATTTTGTTACTAGTTATTGCTAATCTCTTAGTGGTGTGCCTTATTTTAAAGATAAATTTTAACATAGGTGTGGATGTATGAGAAAACACATTGTGTATATAGGTTTCAGGCATCCCCTAGAGGTCTCGAAACACAGTCTCCATGGATAAGGGGGAAATACTGTTATTCCTTTAAAGTTGTAAAGCTCAGTTGCCAGAGTTTTCTCAGACAGGATTCCTGGCAGGTAGAAATTGGTGTTTGTTAACAGTAAGAAGGTGTCCCTCTAGCAGAGTCCATGTCACTCCTGGGAAGGGGGCATGTGACCATAGCACAGCTGCTTCTCTGAGCTTTTATACCAGCCCTCCTAAACACTGATGTAGCACAGTGCTGTGCCAGCCCTACTCATTCCAGAAACATCCTTCACTTTTGGGATGTAATCCCACTTTGTACTTTGCACATGCATCTTTGAGTTAGGGTAGGTGGGAAAGTGTTTATTAGGTTTATATCATGGGGAGGTCAGAAATAGGAATATTTTAAGAGGGCTATCAGACAGTGGACCAAAGGAAAGGAAGGAGGTTCAGGTTATAACGTCAATTTAGTGGCTTCTTCGGGGGAGAGTTTTGTAGACAAAGTGTGAATACTGGGATATGTTTAAGGGAAATGCCTTTTTCTCCACTGAGTACCTCACCAGAAATTCAGCTGGGGGGTTATGCAGGCAGTAGCCACCCTCCAGCTGATGGCCATGAGCAGCAGCACAGCAAACAGTTTACAGCCGCTCCTCCTGATAATGATATGTGATTTCAACTCACCCACTCAGCACTTTGCTTTTAGAGTGGGACTTATATTCTTAGGAGAAATTTCCTGCTATCTAGCACCTAAAATTTAAAAATTTTCCTGTGAACTATACCATAGTTTTAATCAGATTTTACAAATTACGGTATTGATGTGGGTAATTATGTGAAACATAAATGGTTTTATTTAGAACTTAATTATTTTGTATCTCTGGAAGGTTACTCTCTAATCTAGAAAATGATGAAAATTGAGATAAGACTGCCTCCTTTTTTTTTTTTTTTGTTTTTGTTTTTCTGGCACTGAGGTTTGAACCCACCAGGGGCACAGCCCTTTTTTATTTTAAGACAAGGTCTCACTGAATTGCTGAAGCTGGTTTTGAACTTGTGATCCTCCTGCCTTAGCCTTCTGATTCGATGGGATTACAGGTGTGTGCCATCATGCCTGGCTCAAATACACACACACACACACACACACACACACACGCACGTGTATGTGTATGTGGTGATGATGATGGTGTCAGGGATTGAACCCAAGGATGCTTAACCACTGACCCACATCCCCAGGCGCCTACCCCTTCCCCCAATTTATTTATTATTTATTTGATTGGGCATAGAGTTTGTTTTTTGTTTTTTTTTTTTCCAGTTTGTATACCTCTGAAAGTAGATTTTTCACTGCTGTATCCTAGTTTCCACTACATTGCCTGAATCCTAGTGGGTGAATGAGTTCCAATGAATTGAGAGTCTGCCTAGGTACAATAGTCAGAGGTGTTTACTTACTTATTCTTTCATTTCTTGGTTTGGCAATTGTTTCAGGAGGCTCACCTTATGTTGCAGACTGTATTAGGCACTGGATGTACGAGTCTACCCCCCACTAAAAAAAAAAAAAACACCTGCTTCTGGTGGCAGAGGCCTAGAGGCATGATGAAAAGGAGATTCCTAGTGAGGATTTTGGAGGCAGCTTCAGTTTGGAGGTGTAAAATGAAAAAGAGAATCTTTCTACCTGCTGTTTCCCTTCATCATCTGCAAGTTGGGAGTCAGCAAGTAGAACAGAAGGGGGCTTACAGGCCATGGGAGGAGTGTCTTTGCAAAAGTCTAAAGGCCATGAGTAGATATACCAGCATCTTTATTCATCGGTGCTAAAAAATTAGCATACTGTTAACAAAATTGTTTTCTTCAAAAACTTTTATATTTTAGGCACCTTAAATGCTTTTTAATGAATTACTGCAGTTGAAAAACTTAATGCTAAAAGTAAAGAACATAATCTAGGGTGTCCTTAGGCTGCTTCAGGGAAAATGGGAGAAGAGTGGGAGTCCCAGCTGGTTGGATCTGAGTCTTGGGACTGTCACCTAATGGTGCAGAGTGAAGAGCCTCTTAACCTCTCTGTGTCTCACTTTTCTCAGCTATCAAATGAAATGGTGAGAGTTCCTATTTCATAAACTTAAATAAGAAAATACTTTTCCTTTGGGTGTAAGGAAGACAGTGAGTGCAAGGAATGTGCCAAGCACTCTGCAAGGCCACATGTTTATCAGATGTTTGCTTTGTCTTTCTTAATACTATTTATTTTATTGCCTTACTTCTCTCCCTATTAGTCAACTTTTCATTACTGTAACAATTACTTGAAATAAATCAACTTAATACGAGGAAAGGTTTATTTTGGCTTATACTTTCAAGTATAAGTATATGGTTGCTTGGACCCATTGCCTTTGGGCCTGTGCCGAGACAGCACAGCATAGTGGAGGAAGCTTCTCATCCAGTGGCAGTCAGGAAGTGAAAGAGGGTGGGAGAGACCAATGTCTTACAGTCTCCTTCCATGGCATGCCCCAGTGACCTACCATCTCCCAGTAGTGCCACATTGGGGACCAAATCTTCAACACTTGGTTCTTGGGGGAAGTTACTTTTTAGATCCAAACCAAAGTACCCTTGAAGAACAGCAGTGAGCAGTGGTTGGATGAGAACAGGTTACCTGCTGATGGAATGCTCAAGAGTCTCTGTGGCCTTTCCATGATTCTTCTTTTGGAGTAAATGCAGGACTTGCCTTTTATTGATTTGCATTCAATTCTGCTATTTGGTTCCCTTAACTAATTAAGATTATTGTTTTCTTAGCTACATGAAAGTGGTTATGATGCTGGCAAAGCCCTGCAGCGCCTGGTAAAGAAGCCTGTGCCCAAGCTGATCGAGAAGTGCTGGACTGAGGATGAAGTGGTGAGCATGGACCTGCATTTCCCTTGGTTCTGGGCCATCAGGGTGTTCTCTCCTCCATGTGTGACCTGCCTGCTGCTCGGGGAACAGGGATTTATTTGGAAGACAGACTGCCCATGGCATTTATCAGTCAAAGGGAAGAGCCTTCAAGCCTTGCAATTACACAGGAAGACTTGACTTTTCTAAGATTAGGTTCCACAGATGTTGGGAAAGATAGCCCCAAGCTTCTTGGAGGGGAGAAATGAATTGTTACTTTTATAAAAGTTAATATGGTTTGTTGTCGGTGTTGGTACAAGCCAACTGGCAGTAACTCCGTATTTTAAGATCATATATGTCAAAACCAGGTGATACAGAATCTAATTTGAGTAGTGGCCCTGTTGACTTGTTTTTATTTTGAGGGCTTACAGAACCCCTAACCTACTGAAGGTCATTCATCAAAACAAGAAAGCATAGACCAGCCGGGCACAATGGTGCACACCTGTAATTCCAGCAGCTTGGGACGCTGAGGTAGGACCACAGGTTCGAAGCCAACCTCAGCAACAGCAAGGCACTAAGCAACTCATTGAGACCCTGACTCTAAATAAAATACAAAAAAGGGCTGGGATGTGGTTCAGGGGTTAAGTGCCTCTGGTTCAATCCCCAGTTCTACCCCACCACCTCCCAAAAAGAAGGAAGCATAGACTCAATGAAGTGAATACACTAGATTTTATGTACCCATTTTGTTGCTGTGGCCTATTAAAGGAGTTGGAGAGAAAGAAATGTGTCCACAAAGACAGACTTGCAAACCCTTAATTCCTGCCTGGCAGACAGTACTCATGAAACTACATCCCCATCTTGTGACTTTTCAAAGGTATTGCTGTGATAGGCTTAGAGATTTCCTGTGCTTTTGCAAACATGGTCTTCAGTGGGAGTATTATTGCTTGACATTTGCCCTTCAGGTAAATGCAATCAAAATGACTGGCCATGATTGACATATTGACTACAAGTTCCTCACCTGTTTTATAAAACATGGTAAGGAAGAGTATTTAGAAGTTGTGTGTGTGCTTTCTTGATCCTGCTCATTTCATTTATGCAGCAATATTTATAGAGTGCATATCATGTGCCAGGTGCTGTGCTGGGAGCTGTGTCAAGAAGAACACAAGGTCCCTCTTCAAGAGTCTTATGTTTTAAGAGGGGAGACCATCCTAACTCAATATGTTTCAAGTGGTAGAAAAGGACAAAGGAAAAATAGAGTCGGGTAATGAGGATGGGGAACAACTGGGCAGAGGCACTGCCTCGTAAAAGAGGTTAAGGCAAGACCTTTGTGAAGTGAGGAGGGAAGCCTCTTGGATGTCAGAAAGAAGAGAGTTCTGGTTCATAAGAGGAAAGCATGCTTGGAGTGTGTTTAAAATAAGCAGGAGGCTGGGTGCTGTGGTGCAGTGGGTGTCATGCAGCCACTGCAGTCCCTGCAGCTTGGAGGCTGAGGCAGGAAGATCACGAGTTCAACCCCAGCCTCAGCAACTTAGTGAGGTCCTAAGCAATTTAGTGCGACCCTGTCTCAAAATAAAACATGAAAAGGGCTGGGGATGGGGCTCAAGGGTGGTTAAATGCCCTTGCATTCAGTCTCTGGTACTTAAAAAAAACAAGGGCAGGAAGGTAGCTGGGGCACAGTGAAGAGTGGGTGGCTGTCCCAGGGCAGATCATGTGTAGCCTGTAGGCCGTGGCTGCCAAGGTCTCGGCTTGGCACCAGAATCACGAGCCACCACACACCTTTGTAGGTTCAAATAGCAATTCTTTATTCCCGCTCTCACACGGCCTCCACACAGGTCCAGGGACAATCGCGTTCTGCTGTCTCCCGCACAATTCACCTACTCCACGAGGCTCTCTCCAAATCCCATTTTAATCTCACGAGAACTCAACGGGAACAAGCAGCAGGAACACCCTAATCCCAGCAATAATCTTCAACTTCCAACTTCCCTAAAACCCATTATCTTAAACTGGCAACGCCTTAAACTCAAGGAGCCGGTTACTTCCTCAAACCTGATCAGCTCTAAACTCGGATCCGCCTTGGTCCTTGAGCAAGGTCACCTTATGAAAGCATGCATGCAATGTCCCATCGAATGTCCTCTAAGCAGCATGGGGTACGCTTGGCAAGGAAATTTCAATGCGTCATTCCTACTTGGTAATGGCCCTCAGCACGTGGCAGGGTGTTGTCTTTTGCTGTGCAGTGCAGTTTCTGAGACTCTTGAGTTCCAGGGAGCAAGGAGGGCGAGCAGGACAGCAGGGGTGGGCCTGGGATGTGTAGGGAAGGTAGAGCCAAGGGAATGTGTTCATCCAGTGACTTCAGTAAGTGGTGCTGGTGAAGGTTGAGAGAAGTGGGGACAGACTAGCAGAGATGGACTGAGGCTTTGGTGATAGAGCACCTGTCCCTTATGATTGAAATCTGATCATACTTTGGGTGAAACCTTGTAACTGCTTTAAAATTACAAGCCTTACATGATTAGTAGAGAGATTATAACATCTTGAACATTTTTTAATGTTCAAAAATGGCCAAAGTGAAAACATTAAATTCAGATGTTTTGAGACGTTAATATTAACATCTTCTCTGGAAACCTATTTACATGGGTAGAAGTTTGATTGGTAAGATTTTAAACTCCACAAAAATTTTTTGAGAAGAAAGATACAAGGAAAATGGGAGTTCATAACCCACTTGAATCAAAGTGTGAAATACGATATATCAAGATCTATGTAATGTTTTGAACAACCAACAATAAAAAAAATAAAATGTGTAATAAAAAGGACATACTTTCATTTAAAAAAAAAAAGATACAAGGAGATGAAAAGGGGAATGAGTGTGTAAGTAATACTTCAAGGATGTCTGCCCCTCCTCTTGGCCTGCCTTGGTCATCCTGTTGGTGCTTGGATACCACAACAGCTGCTCCCCTGCCTGCTCACCTTTAGTTCTTGAGCGTCCTCTCACTTCAGTCAGTCTGTCTTTTTGGTATCTTCTCACGTACCTCCTCCCTGCCCCTTCTCTGTCCCTTCCTTCGTACTCCTGCCTCCTGTACTGACTCTGTCCTCTCCCTTCCACCATTTTTCTCATGACCTTCCTTCCCTCTGGAATTTTTAAAATACACAGCACAAAGTCCTCTCTTCCTGCCTAGAGAAAGCTGATTTCCTTTTCTTCCAGCACTTGCTAATATCAGGCCAAGATGTTGACCGAGTCCCCAGTGCAGCTGTGCACAGACTTAGCAGTGGGGGGCTGGGAGGACCCTTCAGGCACCAGAAAGAGCTCAGTGTTATTTTGAAAAACAAAACAGGACTCCAAAGTGGCAACCATTCCAAGCATGGGATAATGATCCCTAACTGCGTAAACTCAAGTTGGTTTGGGCTTATTTTTATCATGTTTGCTTCTTGTTTTGAGAAATGTTTTGGCAGTTACCCAGTTACTTGCAGAGCCTGGGGATCAAATGATTCTCTTATTTGAAAGAAGTTAAGCTTGCTTTTTGAGAGGGAGTGATTAAATAATTGATAGGCTGAAGGAGGCTTCTGATGAATATATCCAAATCTTTGAATAGATTTATGTGGCAACAAAGCAGTCCCTCTTTACCTTGGTTGCGAAGAAACACCTGCTGGGTTCTTGCAGCCCCTTCTGATGACTTCACCACATTTTCTCACCCCAGGAATCACAGACATAAACAAGTGTGTCCACCCAAGTAAGTACAAGGGCCTACCTATCTTCTTTTTCCTCACAGTTTTCTATACACTTTGGATGTCCTAGTTATTTTTAGACTTTGTTGCCTCTGGTGTGTTAATTTGATCTAGCTAACCAGTACCAGCAAAGCCCTCCACAGGTTGTTTCCCATAGCCTGTGTGAGAACCTGTATGAGAACAGCCAGCCCTGTGAGAGGAGAGCCTGCCAGTGGTGCCTCCTGACAGGCAGGGCCCTGCCCCTGGAAGAAACTAGAGCTTGACCCTTCCTGCTAGCTGGATCGGCCCTTGCCCGCTGTGGCTGTCACTCCCTCTTCTGCTGTGTGCCTCTTGTTTTTACTGACCCTTTATCCCCGTTTCCTCATGACACCTTTTGTGCCACGGTCATGAGCTGGTTGTTAGTTTATAAAGTTATTAAGGGTAAGGACTTATTAAGGTGAGGTTAATGTCTCTCCCTCTGTGGGGTTTGAAGAATAGTGGTGGCACTTTGTTTAAGGTTATCATTCCTAAAATTTCTTCACTCAGGTCTTCCTCAGTCCAGCATTTTAAAACTTGTAATAGTTAATATTATTGAATTAACATCAAAAACTTTTACTTGCAGCCGAAACTGACCTTAAAAATTTGATTTTTAGAAAATGCTTTTCAAATTACTCATCATCCCACCTTTACCAAGGTAAAGAGGGACCTTTAAATATTTATTTTTTAGTTGTAGTTGGACACGATACCTGTATTTTATTTATTTATATGTGGTGCTGAGGATTGAACCCAGGGCCTCGCAGTGCTAGGTGAGCACTTTACCGCTGAGCCACAACCCCAGCCCCATCATGATTGTTATTTTTGTGAGCATCATCATCACTCAAGTGTTTCTTCCTAAGTCTCTCGATCACTACTTATGTCGTCTGAGACTCAAAACCACACAAGGGGAAGCCTTTTATCTCACATCTTCTCTCAGTAACTGCTCTGACAGTTTGTGTGTGTGTGGATATGGTGTTTCTAATTGAAGTTGCTTTGGGGCGAAGATTCTTTGAATCTTGTTTTATTGAAGCCAAATTTGTGCTAATTTCTGTCAGATTCTATACCAGATACTGCAAAACAATTCTGCTTTTGTGGAGTGACTGCAAGAAATACCTTGGTAACTAGCCTGTAGTGTATATTTCAGGTTAAATACACTGGTCAGACCAGGGAAACATTCTGGAAGAAACCCTAGGGGAATTCATGAAGCTTTTTAAATGCTAGGGTATGGCAAGGATAGAGCCAGAAGATATGACCAGATGCTGCCTTTAAGTGTTCTATTATTGGTAGTTAACCAATTT